CCCGAATCTCCCCCCCTGGCGAGCGCCGCCGTGAGCTCGGGACGTCGGAAAGGGCGTGGCATAAAGCGGTGCGGCCCCAATCCTGGGAATGGCAATGTTCTCTACGATAGCTAACTTCGCCAGATCCGCCTTTACATAACGTGGGCACCACACCCCATTACACCACACCCCTTTCCTACCTTTAGGTCGGGCATGTCCCCTTCCAGGCGGATTGTGGACGAAACATAAGAAATACCAACAAGGAACGCTCCCACAAATAAAAAACAAATTGAACAATCGTCCCCAGACTATTTTTTGCCAATGTTTGAATATTCCCCCCTGTAAAGGGACAGGCCCGACTTAACCCTACCTCCAGGGTGAGTCCCTCGGCGCCGGAGCGGCGCGAGGGGTGTAATCCCACCAGGTTTCGAGGGGTGTACCCCCAACTGGGAGGGTAATTTGGTGGGGGTCTCGAACGGGATGGGGATTGGGCTGGGGGTCGGTGCAACGATACTCGACAAGCGCGTTCCACGACTCGCAAAGTAGCTACTCGCAAACGGCCTGCATCCACCGCGGGTGATTTACGATACATAAAATAGAGGAAGGCGCACTTTTTCTGGACGATTGCGAATGGGCACTGTGCGAGTTGTGAAACGCGCCTGGTGAGATGCCGTCCATCGACGCCGGAACGGCGCGAGCCCAGGGGACGATCAGCCTGGCCAGCTCCCCGCCGCCGCCGGGGTCGGCACGCAACACGCGGTTGCCGCCCTCGCGGGAGGTCGGCGCATGGGCGCCTCCGGGCATCGGCGGGGGGCAGGGAGGAACCGTCGTCGACCTCCGCCTCCGCCTCCGCCTCCCCCCTCCCCCCTCCCTCCTCCCTCCTCCCTCCTCCCTCCTCCCTCCTCCCTCCTCCTCCTCCTCCTCCTCCTTCTTCTCCTCCTCCCCCTGGCAAGGCCACAACTTGCTATCTTCCGATTCCCCTTGTGCTTTACCCGTTCCCCCGTTCCCCCGGTACTTTTTCCGCTTCCGTTTGTTTCCCGCGCTCGGCCGCACGACCTCCTTTGTCCATCCATGATGTGGCGTTGGATCCTCGTTTCTCCTCGTTCGTGACAGTGAAGGGACAGCGCCCCGCGCCCCCTCCTCCTCTTCGCCCCTCCTCCCTCCCTGCCCCTGCCCTCCGCCTGTCCACCATGAATTTCAGCGCACCCCGCACAACGCTTCGTGGCTCCAGCGCGCCCAGTACAGCGCACCCGGCCCACCATTCATCTCAGCGTACCCATGGGGGGGCTCCACCAACGGTCCCAGTGGCTGTGACCAGATGCATCCCCGCCACCCATTTCGGCACACCCTCACACGTTTCGTGGCCCCATAGGGAGCCTCCACCGAAGGCCCTCATGGCAGTGACCACGTGCGTCCCCGCTACCCATTTAGGCACACCCCACACATTCGCTTCGTGGCCTCATAGGGAGTTCAACCGAAGGCCCGAGAGGCTGCGACCACATGTACATCCGCCAACAATGCCGCCAACAATGCCGGAACACCCCTCACACGTTTCGTGACCCCATAGGGATCTCCACCGAGAAGCCTCACTGGTTGTAACCACATGCGCCCACGCCAGCCATGCCGGCACACCCCTCACACGTCTCGTGGCCGCATCGGGAGCCCCACTGTCTGCCCAAGTTGCTGTGACCACATGCGTCCCGCCACCCATTTCGGCACACCCCTCACACGTTCCGTGGCGCCATACGGAGCGCCACCGAATACCCCACTGGTTAATACCACGTGCGCCCCCGCAAACCATGTCGGCACACCCCTCGCACGTTTCGTACCACCATAGGGAGCGCCGCGGAAAAATCCAGTGGCTGTGACGACATGCGTCCCAGCCACACGTGTCGGCGTGTCGGCACACCCCTCCCACGTTTCGTGGCCCCTCAGTGAGCGCCGCCGAAAGATCCAGTGGCTGTGACCACATGCGTCCCCGCCATCCATGTCGGCACACCCCTCACACGCTTCGTGGTCCCATCAGGGAGCGACGGCGGAAGATCCAATGGCTATGACCGCATGCGTCCCCGCCATCCATTTCGGCACACCCCTCAAACAATTCGTGGCCGAAAGCCCCGGAGCGCCACCGAAAGCCCAGGAGGCTGTGACCACATGCGTCCAAGCCACACATGTCGGCACACCCTTCGAATGTTTCGTGGCCCCATAGGGAGCTCCACCGAATGTCCCATTGGCTGCGACCACATTCGTCCCCGCCACCCATTTCGGTACACCCCTCGCACGTGTCGTGATCCCCATAGGGAGCCCCAACAGAAGGCCCCAGAGATTGTGACCACATGCGTCCACTCCACTCACTTCGGTACACCCCTCCCACGTTTCGTGGCCCCACAGGGAGAACCACCGAAAGCCCCAGCGGCTGTGACCACATGCATCCACTACCCATTTCGGTACACCCCTCCAACGTTTCGTGGCCCCATAGGGAGCGCCGCCGAAAGCACCGGCGGCTGTGATCACATGCATCCCCGCCACCCATTTCGGCACACCCTCACACGTTTCGTGGCCCCATAGGGAGCCTCCACCGATGGCCCTCATGACAGTGGCCACATGCGCTCCCGCCATCCGTTCCAGCACACCCCTCCAACGCTTCGTGGCCCCATCGGTGGCTCTACCGAAGAGGGTACGCATCCTGCGGTACTCACAACGGCATATGGCCAGGTCGTTCGCCAATACTCGTGGTTTCCCGCTCGGCCGCTGGGCGGCCCCTGGAAACCCATGGGAGGCCCCTGCGAGGCTGTTTTGTTACTCGTGGCCATGACGGGCGTCATGGCGGGTGGGGATGGGGGGGGAGCGGGAGGGAGGGGGGGGGCATAGCGTACCCCCACCCCCCACCGTAACAAGCTCCGAGCACCACTGCAGCGCTCGCGCGAGCCTTGCAGCAAGATTCAGCCGTCACGCCTGTGCACACAGACACACACACACACACACTTCAATACGCGAACACCACGCGTGATTGACACCACCCAAACGCAGCAACGTACAAAACAGTACGCCGCACTCTGATACCAACACACCACGTGAACAGAACAACCTACGAACATCTGCCACTGCAACACGCGACCGCCAAACATGTATCGCAGCTATGCGCAGCAAGATGATGGATTATGTGGGTTGCAAACTAGCCCGCGAGAGCTGCGAGATGGCCGCGACGACCACATTTTCTCGTGAACACCTTAACATCTTGAGTGCAACAAAGTCGCGCCCGTGAGCACCAGAGTGTGCACGCGACCCCTAGATGGTGAGGAAAGCTGGGCCCAACCAGGACCTCAACACCATCGGTTTCGAGCGCCATCTACATATGTGCATAACAGCATGCTGGACCGTCCAAGTGCCACAACACCCTGCGAAATAACATGATGACGAAAACGAGGAATACGGGGAGGACGAGAAGGAGCAGGAGGACAAGGATGAGACGAGGAGTCGAGGAGAAGGAGGACGAGGACGACGAAAACGACGAGGACGCCGACAACCACGACGACCATCTTGCGAACATCGGATGTAGCAAGCAACTGTGGCCTTCATGTGTGCCCCCCGCTCCCTCGCACCCGCCCGCGAAGTCATTGGACCAACCCCCTGTGGGGGGGATTCGTTTCATACCAGCTCCTGGGAGAAGGATTCGGTACTTTCTATGCGCACCACATCGCCACGGCCGCCAAACGTGCTAACGCGCCCGCGGGCCAAGGCGTCTCTGAAAAAAATGAGGAGGTATCGAGCGGGAGCCGTTGTCGTCGTAGCTGCCCACCCCCCTCCCCAACTTGAACGAATTGCGAGGAGGATTCGAGCCAGACCGCAGTTCCTGAGCTTCGAAGCTTCTCTGGCCAGGGCCTCTCGAAGTAAAGCGCGCAGAATTGTCGGGCGAAAGCTGCTGTCATCGCAGCGGGGCGTCCACGAACGTGCGTGAACTGTGAGGATGTCTCGAGCCAGAGCGCAGTTCCTGAGCTTCGAGGCCTCTCTGGCCAGAGCGTCTCGGAATAAATCGGAAGGAAGTGTCGAGCGGGAGCCGCTGTCGCCGTCGCTGAACGCCACGAACTTGCGTGAATTCCAAGGAAGTCTCGGGCAAGAGCGCTGTTCCTGGGCTTCGAGGCCTCTCTGGCCAGGGCCTGTCGGAGTAAATTTCGAGGAAGTGTCGAGCGGGAGCCGCTGTCGCCGTCGCTGAACTCCACGGACTTGCGTGAATTCCAAGGAATTCTCGAGCCAGAGCGCTGTTCCTGGGCTTCGAGGCCTTTCTGGCCAGGGCCCGTCGGAATAAACTTCGAGGAAGTATCGAGCGGGAGCCGCTGTCGCCGTCGCTGGAACTCTACGAGCTTGCGTGCAGTGCAAGGAATTCTCGAGCCAGAGCGCTGTTCCTGGGCTTCGAGGCCTCTCTGGCCAAGGCCCGTCGAAATAAATTTCGAGAAAGTATCGAGCGGGAGCCGTTGTCGTCGGGACCGGGCCCACAAAGGCACAAATACACAATCACGCCCCCGCTCGAGCGGGAGCCTCGTTGTCACAGAAAATGAGGCCGGCGTCGAGGCGAGAGCGCCCGGGCAACTTTCCGGAGATCAACCATAATTATTCTCTAGAAGTGAATATTCAAAGGCGACGAGGATGACGGAGACGACGACAACCACAAAAGGGTGAAACTGGCGATGGCGATGACGATGGCGACGCCGACGACGACGAGGACCAGACCACGACCACGGCCCCGACGAAGTCGACGACACGACGACGACGACGACGACGACGACGACGACGACGACGACGACGACGACGACGACGACGAGCGAGGGGAAAAATGAGAATTAGCAGGGGTAGCAGAACGATCAGGGTGATGAGGAGGGGAGAATGCTGAGCAAGAGCAAGAATGTGATCAGGAGGACGAGGGAGACGAGGGCGAGGGGGAAGATGGGAAGAACGACGGTGGTGGCGGCGCCACCCTCGAAACTGCCACACTCCCGACTCCCCTGGATGAGCAGGACAATTTTTGAAGTATCGGAATAAGCTTCCCGACTGACCATCGGGGCGTGGGGGAGGCCAGTCGGGGAATCGGCCAGTCGGCAAAAGTCGGGGAGTCGGGGAGTCCGCCAGTCGGGAAGTCGGGGAATCGGGGAGTCGGCCAGTCGGGTAGTCAGGGAGTCGGGGAACCGGAGAAGCGGCCAATCGGGGAGTCGGGGAATCGGCCAGTCGGGGGGGTCGGGGAGTCGGGGAGTCGGGGAGTCGGGAAATCTGGGAATCGGGAAGTCGGGGAGTCGACCAGTCGGGGAGTCGGCCAGACGGGGAGTCGGGAAGTCGGGGAATCGGGGACTCGGGGAGTCGTGGAATCGGGGCGTCGGGGCGTCGGGGAGTCGGGGAATCGGAGAGTCGGGGCCTCGGCGAGTCGGAGAGTCGGCCAGTCGGGGGGTCGAAGAATCGGGGAGTCAAGGAAGTCGGTCAGTCGGCCAATCGGGGACCCGGGGAGTCGGCCAGTCGGGGAAACGGGGAATCGGCCAGTCGGGGAGTCGGACAGTCGGCCAGTCGGCCATTCACGGAGTCGGGGAGTCGGGGAGTCGCTCAGTCGAGGTACGGAAATCGGGAAATCGGCCAGTCGGGAGGTCGCGGAGTCGGCCAGTCGGCCAGTCGGGGAAACACGGAGTCGGGGAGTCGGCGAGTCGGCCAGTCGGGGAGTTGGCATGGGTCTTCACTGTACCCTGCATTCGTGGCTTGGATTCAGCCGCGCGTCGGAAGAACATGGTGCGCGTGTGCGAATGCGAACACAGCCCCACGGAGTTCCAAGGAGCCGGTAGGTACTCGCCAAGCGTGAAGAGATTCTGCGCTGTGCGCGCCGCCCCCTCTCGTCATATTCTCCCGTCCCCGGCGGCCTCCTCCACATTATCCTCCCGGGGGGGGCCAAGAGTTAAGTCGGGCCTGTCCCCCTACAGGGGGATTTTCGACGAAGAACAAGAAAGCCCAAAACTAATCAAAAAAAAATCCAAAAATCATCTGGGGATCATTTTTTTTAAATATGTGCTGACCTCTTTAGGGGCATGTCTGGAGTATTTTTAATTTTTCGTCGAAAATCCCCGTGTAAGGGGGACACGCCCGACATAAGCCAAGAGGCGGGCGTCCAAGAGGGAGGGGCGCAAATCATGGCCGGCGGCACGTGCGCGGCCCAGGGGGTGGGGCGGGGGCGGAAAAGATAAGAAGAGGCGCCACGAGGATCTCGGGAAATAGCATGGCCCATGCCATATACCCCCCTCTTTGCCGCCCCCGATCCTCCCTCGCTCCTCGTCCTCCCACGCAGGTGTCGCACCGGCTGCTCCTCACACTACGGATGACCCCGCCCCAAAACCCACGCCTACGAAACTGATAATGTTGTCGTCCGCTATGATGAGGTGCTCCCCGACCGGGAACGACTCCTCAACGGGAAAGGAATGCAAGTAGCCTCGCAGCACGAGCTGGGTTCCAAGCTGCCTAGGCGCAGCGTCTGGCCATCCTGGCCCTCCACAAGGGCTCCCAACTTCGCGCTTCGCGCTCCGCGAAGCGCGAATAACTTCGCGCTCTCGCGCCGCCCCCCCGAAGGGAGAAAAGGAGGACGAGGAGGAGGGGGAGAAGGAACGAGGACCGCGAAGCGCGAATAACTTCGCGCCCTCGTGGGAGCCCTTGCCTCCAGAGCTCCCCTTGGGCCCCCTGGCCCCTCCCGCGAAGGACCACCTGGGCCTCCCTCGTGCCTGGGTGCAGCCAGGCGGGTGCCTGTTTGGGAACCTTGGGCGGTGGCACCCCCGCGGGGAGGGCCCGGGATATCTAAAGGGGCCCCAGGACACACAGATAAATACACACAAATAAAAAGATTCCCAATATGTTCTAAGTTTTTTTCTCCCCCCCACTTCCCATATTTCCCATATTTTCCTGAGACTCGACGATTAATTGTGTCTGTATTTTTGGTTTCTTCCCCTCCTGAAGATCTTCCTCCATCTGCTGCTGCCGCTGATCATCCTCGTCCTCGTCCCCCATGTCCCTTCTCCTCCACCTCCTCCTCCTCCTCCTCCTCCTCCTCCTCCTCCTCCATCAGACGGTCGGCCCGTATCGTAAGGATGCGCGACAAGGATGCGAGGGCCTTGGGAGCCCGTTTCGAAGCGTCTCGAGCGGGGCGCGGCTGAAGAAAGTGGCCAAGGACGGACCGAGGAGGCAAGGATGCCAGGGTACCCTTGGGAAGGTTGCCCATCCTTACTGTGCGGATTGACTGTATCCCGTCCTCTTCCATCTGTCCCTTCCTGATCCTGCTCCTCCGCCTCCTCCTCCTCCTCCTCCTCCTCCTCCTGTGCCCCTGCTGTCCATCGTTCGGGGGGGTGGGGTACCCGAAGGCCCGAGGCGAGATGCCCCCCTAGGACTGCTGGACGCCAGGACTCCGGCGTCGGGCCGACGGATCGATGCCGGCAGGCATCAGCGCTTGGCGGAGGGGGAGGAGGGCCACGAGAAGGCTTGAGAAGGAAACATCCCGCAAGGAACACAGCACTGAGGCATCGAACCTTCGGATCTGCAAGCGCGTTAAGGACTCGTCTTCCTTCCGGTCCCTTGCATGTAATTTGTCCCTGTGGCACCCGGACGCGTGTCGGCAGGGCGGGCGAACAGTTCGCCATAGCATTCCCCACCACGTGTAATCCTTAAGCTGAGAATCCGCAGCAACTTCACAGATGGAGGGCGGCCATGTTTCTTCAACGGGTAGCTCATTTGCTTCAGCGCCACCGCCGGGGGGGGGCGTGCCGCTTTCACAATGTGGCTCTCGCCATCGCGACGCGCGCACTCGTCTCGAAAGCGTGCGAGAAGTGAACGGATGGAGGGCGGGCTGTTCCCCAGATGTGGCTCTCGCATCGGCGCCGTGCGCATTCGTCTTAACATGCTGCGCAAGTGTGTCACTGATTGAATGCGGTTCATTTTTCAAAATGTGGCTCTCGCCTTTGCACCGCGCCCATTCGCCTCAAGCGCTTGCAGCAGTGTCAGAGATACTTATGGTTGACGTCCAACGGATGAAGTTACAGCACCATTTGGGACAGTCAGGGCGCAACAGTTACCTCGAATGGTGTTCTGGCTCGGTTCAGGACTGTGATAACGCAACAGTAGCGTTGATTCGCGGCGTTGAAGTCCCAGGAAGTTTTTTGGCACGGCTCAGAATTTTCAGACGGCTGTCTTCCAACGGGGCACTTCCCTCAGTGAAAAGAAGTAGGGACCTGTGAGGAGGGACCGTGGAGGGAGGTTTGATTGCAACATCTTTGATGAGCCTTGGATCTACACTGGTCCTCATCCTCCTCCTGTTCGTGCACCTGCTGCATCTCGTCCACGCCTTCCTCCAGCCAGCCACCCCTCATCCTCCCTCCTCCACCTTGCCCTCCTCTGCCTACGACTCCGACTCTGCCTCCGCATCTTTGGTGGCCCGCTTCCCCTTCCTGCCGCCCAAGGGTGAGGGGGTGAAGGGGGGGACGAGGCGAAGAGGAGCGGCACAGGTGACGTGATGGCCGGGGGGCGCGCGCGAGCGGGTCCTCGATGAAGCGCACCTGCAGGTCGGCTCCCCGCACGCCCTCCACCACGCGCCCGGCCCACGGGGTACCCCGCAGAGCGGCCACGTAGCGGCCAGACTTCCAGTCCTTATCCTCGTGCGACACGAAAATCAAGCAGCGGCTGTGGGCGGCCCCTGGCCCCAGAGACCACTCCAGGGCGGCCAGCGTCAGCTGCAGCAGCCCCCTGGCGGCCCTGCCTGTCCGCGGTGTCCAACCCTCGGGGTTTCCTGCCCGCCCGTAGGTCCGCACGCAGATCAGCCATCGGGGCTCCTCCACCGCACCGAGCGCGGCCGCCACCCGCCCGCGTGCGGTCCGCAGCAGGTCCTGCACAAAGGGGTGGGCGAAGACCTGGTCGCCAGCCAGCTGCCCGGCCTCTGGCGCCGCCCTGTACGGAACGCAGGAGCCGCTCGCCGCCCGAACGGCCGCGCTCGCCGCGCTGCTGGCAGGGCGGGGGGCCGACGGGGCGGCCGCTGGGGCGGCCACGGGCGCGCTCCGTGGGGCGGCTGGCGTGGCGCGCGGCCGCGCGCGGTCGCACGCGCGCCCAGCTGCGGCGCGCAGGCGGCTCCGCAGGCGATGCGCCGGGGGCCCGCAGGACGCCGCGCCTCTGGCGGCAGGGGCGCGTGCCTCTAGCCGGTCCATCGTCGGCTCTGTCGGCTCCGTCGCCTCGAGAGGGGCCCAAGGACACAAGCAGAACGGGAAACACATCCCAGGACCCCCGATATGTTTCACATAGTTTTGGGGTTCTCGTCTCCCCACAGATTTTCCCATGCTGTCTCAGGGACTCGACGAGGCATTGTGTCTGTGTGTTCGTCCTCCCCGGAGCCTCCGACGCCGCTCCCGCCCCCGCGGCGGCCACGGCGTAGGCGCTCCTCTGGAGCCGGGGCATGGCCCGCCACTCCAGCTCGGCCACGCAGCTCGCGCGCTGCAGCAGGACCCTGCGCTCCTTGATGGGCCTGTCTTCCACCACCACCACCATAAGTTGGAGGGGGAGAGGGTCCTCCTCCTCCTCCTCCTCCTCCTCCTCGTCCTCCTCCTCCTCCTCCTCGTCCTCCTCCCCTCCCACCATCCGACTTACAGGGCAGGTTTTAATACATGAGATTTTCAAACATATTGGATTTTAATGCATGATCAATCTATGAATACATTTTTGCATGAACTCATCGCTGTTTTTTAACTAACTCCCTGCATTTTTAATACATGCTCCGCACGCGGAGCATGTATTAAAAACGGCATTGTATGGTGGTGGTGGTGGCGGAAAACACGCCCATCACTCCTGGGGCCCGGGCTCGAGGCCACGCACCGCGCGGTCCGCGAGGAGCGCTGCCGAGCACTCCGCCCGGAACAGGGCGAACCCGCGCCCCTGGGCGTCGCAGGCCCCCGCCTCTTGGCACGTCCGAGCCAGGCACGGCGCTAAGAACAAGGGTGGGCCATGCTGAGAAGCACCCTGCTTGCCTGCAGGGTTGGGATTCGATGGTTTTGCCATGGAGAGCGTGGCGCTTCCACACCAACAATCATGGACGCCCCGGGGTCTCAGGGTTGGGTTTCTGGTGGAAGGTTTCTCGTGGTCGGGCACCTACTGAATGGGTATGATGCCCAACAGCAAGGTGTCGCCCAAAACCTACCGCGGCCGCCGTTGGGCCGTCGACCTGCTGTCTCAAACGGACAGCGTCCACGGCGACACCGCCAGCGAGCCCTGCTCGAAACGATCACGAGCTGCTGTCGGTCTTCAGGCCCATTCCTTGGGGACACCAAAAGGTACCGATACCGCCACTCCCCAGACCTCTCCTGGGGTGCGTTCTGACCAGAATTGCGAGGCGGTGGCGACGAGGGCCTCTGAGGAGGCCCAAAAAGGGGAAAACGGGAGAAGGGTAGAGGTATGGGTACCCTTTCCTCCTCTGACTCCTTCTGTACTCGTCTCGACCGCACCGAGCCTCGAGCTCTCCGATCAGCCACTCCCGCTGCGCCCGCCTCCGCAGGTCCCCCGTCAGCGGCGGCGGCTCCAGAGCGCCCGCCTCCTCCCCCGCCGCGGCGGGCTCGCGCCGCGGGGCCTCGCGCAACTGCCGCACCGTCGAGAGCCGGCCGCTGGCGTACGGGTTCTCGCACCGCGCTGCCCGCCGCCAGAAGCGCGCCCTCAGCCGGGCGCGGCCGCGCTCGCCCGCGCGCGAGGCGCCCTGCCGCCTCGCGTGCTCAATCACCGAGGCGCACTCGAGCTCGAACTGCTCGAGCGAGCACCGCGGCGCCGCCACTGCAGGAGGTGCCTGCCCCGGCGGCGCGTCCAGCAGCGCCAGCATCGGCGCTGCCGCCGACGCCGGCACCGCGCGTCGCGACATCGGGGCCAGGCCCCACGCACAACTCGCGGCCGGGTCGCGCTGGGGGCGAGCCCGAGCTCTCTCTGGCGGGTGGGGCGGCGAAAAAGTGGCCCCCCTGTCGGCGGTGAGGGAGGGCTCGCGGCTCCCGTGCTACGCGTCCAACCGATCTGGTCAGCGTCAATCGTGCGCTCTCGATCTCGCTATCCAGGCCCCCCATGCCCAGCACCCACTTGTTATCCTCCTCCCCCTGCTCACCCTATGTTCATCAATTTCTCCCCCAAAAGCTACATCTCCCGCCCCTTGAGGACAGTTTTGACGAGCAGAATAGGCCAATGTCAGTCTCAACGCACTGGTTGCGTGGGTGCATAGCGCGATGTATCTTCGGGTGGCCCTTTCGGGACGTGCTCGGGGCCTCCTCGGGGTCTTGTGAGGGCCTCCTGGGGGGCTTGTGAAAGTGAAGCTGTATGGGGAAGCCCTCTGGTCCTTCTGGGAGCCCTGGGCATGTCCCTGGGGAAGCCAAGAATGACCGATGCCGCTGCTCCCTGGACTTTTCCTGGAGCGCGTGCTGCCCAGGATATTTCCATGCGAATCCAGCGGTGGCGACGATGGACTCCCGGGAGGCTGAACAAAAAGGGAAAACGGGGGAGGGATCACCGTATGGGTACCTGTTCCTGTTTGAGTATCGGGGTTTGGGGGCAAACCTTGGACCACCTCGGGCTCGAAGTGGGCCGTCTTCGAGGGCCCGCCTGGGGTGGTCTTGGGGCCCACACGGGCCTGCTGCAGCCACGTGGGCGTCCTTCGGTTGCGTGCCTTGGGCCCTCGGGCCCTGCTGGGGCCAATCGTGTGTTCCTCCTCGTGCTCCTCGGGGGGGGACCCAACAGTGTGCGGGGGCAACCAGGGGGGCGGGTGCTGAAGCCACAAAGACCCCGCCTCACGATGAAATCGATACATATTATGTGAGCATGTGTGTATATGTAAGTACATGTGTGTTTACACACATATATACATACAGACACGCATATCTGTATGTGTGTGGGCGTCTTCCCTCCAACAAATGCAATTGATATTCATGACGCGGAGGGGATGGCAACTGCAAACTGCATGTGTGCAGTAAGCTGTAGCCTTCATGTGTCCGAAAACAACGGTAGCTGTGTTCAGCACATGCAAACGTGCAACATCATAATAATAGCAATGCGCGCTACGTTCTGCACATGCACAATGATTAGCTGCACGAGGACGCTGCATGCTGCATGCTTGCGGGGCGAACCAGAATTTGCAAGACGAACATAAAGACATACAGGGACAGGAATAGCAGTTGACGAATGCTGGGGAAAAATGGGGAGGAAAACGCCAATTGCTGGCAAGCGCTCAAATAGGTTCCCGTGAACACCGCACTGGCTCTCCAAAGGTGTACCCGAAACCCACATCCATGCGCCGACAAGCATGAACAAAAGGCACGGCGGCTCAAATGTACGAAACAAGATTGTGCTTTCAAATGGCCGCTTCGAACTTAAGCTCCGGACGTGTCGGCGAGATCCCTATCGGCGCGAAGACAAGTTCTGACCATAGGGTCGCCAGCTCGTTGGATATTCCAATCGCCACCGTATTACCCCGACCATCTAGTACGTCAACTGCTTGGGTCATTGAAAAGTGAGCTAGGGCTGGGCTGGACTCGGCCTGCTTGCACACTTCATATCTACACGCGCAAATAAAAAACACCATGTGAGCCATGAACATGCACTGCGCATTCCCGTGAACATACCGACAGTTATTTCAACCTGCCTCTCTCTCTCTCTCATATATATATATATATATATATATATATATGTATAGGTTCATGTGTATATATATATGTTCAAGATTCTGGAAAGCCAGCTCGATTGTGGGAGGAATGGCCTCTTGATTCGACGCGCCCGAAAAGAAACCCCCCACACGGCGGGCGGCGCCTTCCAGTGCAACCGGAACTGCCTGCAGTCGAAGGGCTTCGGCCTCGTCACAAGGGTCCCAGTCGTCAAGGACACATCGGTCGCCGATGTGGTTGTCACCTGCCCTCCGAAATCGACCACAGGAAACATACATACATGACAAGCAAAATTTCAAATACAACGGGTGGGGGAATAGGCCAGCGCCCATATATCAGCATGTGACCGAAAGTCACGATCGCATGGCGGAAGTCGAGAGCGCAGGGTGATGAGTCGGCATCCAGGGAGCGCAGCAGGAGGGGACGTCGATGATGCACTCAGGGTATGCTTTTCTCGCGCAGGGAACCTTTCTCGATCTCAATGCGCAATCAGAGGGGAATGCGGTAGTGTACGCGAACGGTAGCAACTGGCGCAGCGCAATGTACACGAACCTACCTGTGATGCTTCCCTGTCGAGTTTCCTTATGGTGCGGTCGAAAGAACTCCTGGACGGACGCTTTCCAACAGGAACCCCTTTGCGGCGCGTTCCAGAGGATTTCCTCTGACAGGATTTCTCGTGGAATCCGCCGACCCCTTGGGATCACGGTGGGTGAGATGCTTCCCCCTCGCCAAACCCCCTCCCCAAAGGGGCCCAGCCCGGCCGGCTCGGAGGGGGGAGGGGGCAAAGGTGCCGGCCGCACACTTGGTGACTACCTACCAGACCACCCCAACCCAACCCGAAGGCACGAATTTAATCCGAATTTCGGGTTGGGGGGGGCACGGGGACCATGTGTTTTTTCGACGTTCCCCGATCCCCCCCCCCACTGGAAATGGAGGGCAAATTGAGGCCTTCGGGTTGGGTTGGGGTGGTTTGGTGGGTGGTGACTTGGTGCTTCAAGAGGCCCCGAAATGGACCAAAAGGTTCCGAAGGGTCCCGGAACGGTCCAGGAGAGCTGCGAATCGACAAAAGCTCGTTCCAAAACGCCGAAGATTGCCTCCAGACGGCCCCATCATCCCGAAGACGTTCGAAAAAATACTAGGAGGCGTCCCACGAAGACCTCCCAGAAGCAAAAATCGTCCCATTCCCAAAAGGAAAACGCATATTTTCAGCACATTCGCCTTTTGGGCTGCAACGTGGCCCACAACGGCCCAAGAAGCCTCCAAGATCGACCCTCCACAGCACAAGAGGCTCCCAAAAAGGCTCCACGACGGCTTCCAGGCGATCCACGAAGGCTCCAGGAACCATAGCAACGGCCCGGGAGAGCCGCAGGACGGTCCCAAGAGGGCTCCCAAACTGGCCAACCGGGTCCCCAAAGGCTGCCCAGACGGCCCACGCGGGGGACGATTCGATCAATACCGCCCAAGATTCCCTCCAGACGGCCCCATAGGCTCCAAAGACGTTTGTAAACGCGTCCACGAAGCGCTCCAAAAGAGCCTCCAAAAGCACAAATCGTCCCATCCCCTTTGGAAAACATGCATGTTCACTATATTTGCCTCTTGGGCTTCTACGAGGCCTACGACGGCCCAATAAACCTCCAAATTCGACCCCCGGTTCGACCCCCAGCAACCCAAGAGGCTTTCAAAAAGGCTCCACGACGGCTCCGGGCGCACCGCGAAGGCCTCAGAAACCGCGGCAACGGCCCAGGACAGTCGCGGGACGGTCCCACGAGAGCCCCACAACGGGCCAAGAGGGTCCCCAATGGCTTTCTGGACGGCCCACGAGGGGGGCGATTCGGTCCAAACCGCCCCAGCTTGCATGCAGACGATTCCACATTGGGCCCCGAGACGTTTGAAAAGGCTACCGCGAGGCGCTCCGCGAAGGCCTCCAGAAGCAAAAATCGTCCCAATTCCATTGGAAAACATACATTTTCAGCACATTCGCCTCTTGGGCTTTCACGAGGCCTACAAAGGCCCAGGAAGCATCCAACATCGACCCCCTGCAGCCCCAGAGGCTTTCAAGAGGGTTCCAAGACGGCCTCCGGGCGCCCCACGAAGGCCCCAGAAACCATAGCAACGGCCCTGGAGAGCCGCAGGACGGTGCCAAGAGGGCCCCAAGACGGGCCAGGAGGGTTCTCCTGGTCGGCCCAAGTCGTTCAACAGTGCCCCAAGTCGTCCAACATTGCCCCCCGACAGCCCTACGGGCCCCCAAGACGCCTCAAGACGCCACCCAGAGGCGTCCCAAGAAGCCTTCCAGAGGCAACAACCGCCCCACTCTCGATGGAGAGCGCATGTTTCCAACGCGCTCGCCTCTTGGCCGTTCACCCCGCCCCTGAGACCCACTGCGCGCCCCGACGCGCCCCCGGGGGCGTGGCCCAAGAGGCCCTCCACAAGCAAACGTCGGCCCGTTCCCTGAGGGAAACGTCCAAGTTAGGCGCATGTTTCGCTTCTTTTGCCTGTCACGAGGCCCACAGCAACCCAAGGAGCCCCAAAATCAATTCAAGGAAACCCCATGTGCCTCGAAGAAGAGCTCCCAGACGGCCCAAGAGGTCTCCGAGAGGGCCCCCGCAGCCACCGAGGAGGGCCCCAGGACAGCCCCAAGGGGCTCCCCCGACGGCCCCAAAGGGCTACGACTCGTGAAGAGATCTCTCCAAGACATCCGACGTTGCCTCCAGACGGCCCCGGAAGCCCCCCGCGCGCCCCGACGCGCCACCAGGACGCGTCCCAAGAGGCTCGCAGAAGCAAACCTCGGCCCGTTCACAGAGGGAAACGCCCAAGCTCAACATGTTTCGCTTCTTGGCCTGTCACGCGGCCCACGGCATCCCAGAAGGCACCCCAAATCAGCCCAAGGAAACCCCATGTGCCTCCAAGAAGAGCTCCCAGACGGCCCAAGAGGGCCCCGAGAGGGCCCCCGGATCCATCAAGGGAGGCCCCAGGACGGCCCCGCGAATAGGGTCCGAGGGGAAACCCGAATGGAGAATTCGAGCACTTCGCCAGAAAACCCGAGAGAGCACCACAAGGCACCAACGAGGCCCCTTACGGGGCTCCACGATGCCCCCGAGAGACCCCGGGACCCGGAGGCGGCACTTCGACGACGAAAACAACGAAAAACCTCACAAGACGAAGACACTGTGACACAATTTTATCTTGTCCTCACGCAGGGACCGCGGGGCAGCAGTCAGAGTAAGCAGCGACAGCCCTGCAGCCAACATGCCCACGGAACACGACGAGGCGCCAGGCCCACGGCCTTGCCACGCAAAGAGCGGCCAGTTCCCGACAGGTTCTCCAAGATAGGACACACCCCGGGAAGAAAGGCAGGGCCAGCTGGAAAAACGAAAAGGAGGGCGCAGCAAGAAGGGCGAGAAAGAAGACGCCGTCAACGTGGCCGCCGCCGCGGTCCATTTTTGCTCTCGGGCTTTCACTCAGAGCCGCATGACGGCCCCAGAAGGCCCCGAAATGGACCAAGAGGGTGCCCAAAGGCCTCCTGGACGGCCCACGGCTACGAGTCGTCGAGAGATCGCTCCATGGCGCTCCAGGTTGCCTCACGGCGGTCCTACAGGCACCCAAGACGTCCCAAGAAACCGCCCGGAGACGTCCCAAGAGGCTTCCCAGAAGCCAGAAGCGTTTCATTTTTTATGGACAGCATACATTTCCAGCACGTCCGCCTTTTCGGCTTTCATGAGGCCCACAACAGCCCAAGAAGATTTCCAAGTCGGCGCAATACGACCCAAAGAACCTCCCAAAAGGACTCCAAGACAGCCCGAATGGGCGCGCGCCAACAGGGCGCGTCCCAAGAGGCCCGGCATAACCAGACCTCGGCCCATTCCCGAAGGGAAACGTCAAAGTTTAGCATACTCGCTTGTCGAACTTTCACGAATCCCACAGCAACCCAAAAAGAACCCAAAATCAACCAAAAAGCTCCCGTGCGCCCCCAAGAAGGCTCCCAGACGGCACAAACGGGCCCCAACAGGGCCCCTGAAACCATTAGGGAGAGCCCCTGGACGGCCCCAAGAGGGCAAGACGGGAAACCCGAATGGAGAATTCGAACACTTTGCTCCGAGACAACATGGAAAGGCGCCTACATGCACAAAAAAATCCAGACGGGTTTCCACAATGCCCCGGGATGACCACGGGGCCCGGAAGCGGCTGGCCCTTCGACGACGAAAACAATGAAAAAGTTGAAAAGACTACCACTCTGCAGCCACATTTTTCCCTTTTCCCCACGCAGAAATCGTTCGCCATGGGCCCTCCGGACCCTCCCAGAGTCCAGTCGCAATCGCAATCCAAAATGCATCCAGCCGCGGCGACAGGGGAGGGGCCCAGAACCCACCCAACCACAACAAACCTCCCGAGTCCGACGGGCTACTCCGCACAAGCTCGTTCCCCGAACCTCTCCCTGAATCCGCCGATGCAACGTTTCGCCCCCAGTCCGTCCGGCTCTGAAAATCCCGGGGCCCAGCAACGGCCCCTGGAGACCGAAAGCTATCAAAACAAAAGCTGCTCAAACAAAAACATCTGGAAAGGCGGCCGGAACAGCCGCGGACATCCACCTCGAACGAAAAGAAGAAGAGGAGAAGGACGAGGAGGAGGAAGAGGAGGCGGACGAATAACAAAAAGATCAAAAAGATTTCGTCGTCGCCACCGATGTCTCACATATGTTCGTAGTCTTTCGACCACCCGGGGCATCTCTTCGAATTCGGCCTCCAAGAACAATTTCCGGTGCCGGGGACCACCGCCGAAAGCCCGGGATGAGGATCGACCTCCCTGGCCAGCGCCACCCCTTCGCAAAGGGGAGGAACACGGGTGGATCGAGGCTCCAGGTATGAAGCCCCTAGTTCTTGGGCGCTCTCCGCCACCTCTGGGCCTTCAGGAAGCTCCTCGTCGACGCAGCTGGGTCCACTCTCGAACTTCTGGCCAGACGTTGCCCAAGCTAGATCTCAACGATCCCCGAGCCTATCCAGGGGGTGGAAGAGGAGGCCTGGGACAGGCCCTGTGAAGGCCCCAAGAAACTCACGTACGACCACGAAAAACTTCAAAGCAATCCCCTGCAAGGCCGCCCCTTGAACCCCACGCGCTACGCAGGACAGGCCGACACCCCGAGATTGCCCAGAATTCTGTCTCTCACTCTTGCTGCCGCCCCAAGTGGTCGGCGGTGCGGCGTAAGCCAATTAGTATTTCTGTGGTTCTTTCCAAAGGACCCTTGTTGCGAGGCTTTCCTATCGAATCTCTGTGCGGTGTTTTCCTAAGGAGTCCCGTCGTGAGGCTTTCCAAAAGAATCCCTTAGCGGCGCTATCCGAAGGATTTCTGTTGTGAAGCTTCCCGGTTGCATCCCTTTGGGGAGCTTTCCGATGGATAACTTCTTCGTGCGGCGTTCCTATAGGAACCCTCAGTTGTGTTTTCAACAAGTTCTCTGGTGCGAGACTTTACAACTAATCCATCTGTGGTGTTTTCCGATGGGTTGTTGTTCTTATGCGGCTTTCCAATGAGCCCTTGGGTGGTACATTCCAATTCAATAGAATCCCTGATGTGCTTTCCAATGGGTTCCCTTTGTGGCGCTTCACAAGAAGTAGCCCGTCGTAGCGTGTTCCAGAGGATTCTGCGTGTGATGCTTTCCAGTCAAGCCCTTCGTGCTGCTTCCCAACCGATTCCTGTTGTGAGGCTTCCAGTCGAATCCCTGTGTGATGTTTTCAAAAGGGTTCCTGTTTGGAGGCGTTCTGGTCGAATCCGTTTGTCGCGCTGTCCACAGGATCGCTATTGCGAGGCCCTCCGATCAAACCTGCTAGATTCCTTCCAAATGGTCCCAATTGTTTGCTCCTGCAGAATCCTTCTGGGGCGCTTCCCAAATGAGTCCAAGTATGACTGTTTCTAACTTAGCGCGTGTTGTTTGACAACGCTTTCTAAAAGGATCCGTATGATTTCATATATTGGAACCCCTTGTGTAGCACCTCGTACAGTGTTCCAAGCCGAGGCTGTCCAGTCGAATCATTGCGCAGTGCCTCTCAAAAATTCCTCTCGTGATGCTTCCCAATAGAAGCCCTCAGCGGTGTTTTCTAAACGGTTTCGCTTATGACGCTTTACTCCAGAATAGTTTTGTAGAATGGTTCCGAGCGGATTCCTGTCGCGAGGGCATCGGCATCATGTGGTGTGCTTTCCGAAGGAGTCCTCTTGCGAGCGCTCCAATCCAATCTTTTTTGTGTTGCTGAAAGAATATATGCTGTGAGGCCTTTCGAAAAAGTCTTTCAGATTTCCTTCCACAGGATTCCAGTTGTCAGGTTTTCCCCACAGGATTTCAAGTATGATTGTGTCTAACAAAATGTGTGTAGCACTCTCCAAATGATCCCTCTTGTGAAGCCTCCTCCTCCTCCTCCTCCTCCTCCTCCTCCTCCTCCTCCTCCCTGTGGGGGGGGGCGGGGGGGGGCTAGCCCCCACCCCCGACCAGCACCAGCAACAGAGGGGGGGGTACGCCCCACTTGGTCACGAACCAGAGACACCGAGGTTCGTATAATCAAGGTCGCCACCACGCGGCCAACTCAGCGAGGTTCGCACAGGGAGGTTCACAACCAACAGGAAAAACGAGGAGGACGGACAAAAACAAACCTTCAAAAAACAATGGGTGGGGGAATAGGCCAGGATCCATCTATATAAATATGTATGTATGCATACATGTTTATGTATTACAACCATCGCGCGCACTTCGCGCGCACTTAAGTTCTAACTCGGCTGGATTGTCGAACTCTTGGGGATTTCTATTCCATGACACATCTTCGCCGCGGCTTCCAAGAACCAAGAAGATGGTCCAAGTGGATTCCAAGACCTCCTACGGTCCACCCACGACGGCTGAGGACAGGCCCGAAAGGCACTTCGGGGGCCCGTTCATTCGTCGCGGCTGGACGTAGCCGGAGGAAGAGGGAGAAGGGGGGGTGAAGGGGTTCCCTGGGGGAGAGGGAGAAGGAGAATGAGGAGTTGGAGAGGCTGGAGGAGGCCGCAGATAGGAGGAACCGGAGGACAAGGAGGAAGAGGAGCAGAGCCAAGACAAATGCAAGCTTGGGGAACCCCACGATAAGACTACCCATCCCTGGGACGTGAGGACAACACTCTCAAAGCAATTACCCTCTGGAAGTCTGCTGCCTTCTGACAAACTTCACGCTGTTGAACATCGAAACACTCTGCATGTTCGCCGGCATCCCCCCGTGCTGTGATCATGCAAAGAAGACGCACGACCCTCCCTCAGCTCGCCATTGTTCTCGTCGTGGTGGCCTCCAACCACTCTTGGCAGACTATGCCAAACTCGTGGCGGGCGTGCGAGTC